CAGGAGCGTGGCTGTGCCTCGGTTTCCCCATGTAAGAGTCCAGTGGTGCGTGGCGAGGTACTGAGGCAAAGTGTGAATCACAAGCAGGGTGAATCGCTTTTTATTTCACGGTGTGACTCGGCCGTTTTTCTCCTCTGCCGCGCGCGTTATCGCTGTGGCGTCGGCGCTCGCAGGTGCGTGGGCCTCGGTGGTCAAGATGGCTGACGCGCCGGCGTGGCGCAGGTAGCTCTGCCCTGCTCAGGGCGGGCCGGCGGCGCTTTTCACCCTACCGGCGTACTTAAGTGCACAAATTCGTCCTTAAAACTGGCCGGTAGCCCACACAGAGAACATGCTTTCCCTATGGTGCTGTGTGCGTACGTTGTTGTGCTTTTAAAATCTCCGTTACTCTTTTGAAAGAGTGATGTTCCCTCATTGCTGCAAGAACGGAGATGCGTTACTGTTTCTTTTGAGGAGAAAATCGCACTTTTCTTTCAGGAACTCGTACGTGTGCATAAAAAGTGCAATTCTAATGCTCTCATGCAACAGCGACATATATCTTAAGGTATCTTTCGTCTTTTGGGAAGAACATCTTCCTGTTGTAGGCATTCATGGGCATGACTGGTCTGGTGTAACTCAGTGGGGTTTATTATATAACTAATATTACTGATGTACATAGGATTTTTTTTTTTTTAATACATTGATCACCAAAACTTAAAGCAAATATTCAGTATAAGGAGAACCAATGCTGCATGATTTCTTTTGGGGTAAAGTTGGCAACATCCTCAAGGTGGCAGGCTAGTCTAGGGTTTCCGTGCTTGGTGTTGTAATCGTCGATGCAGCTGTGTCAGCATTTTGGTAAAAGACATATGAATTGCTGCTTTATAGATGATTTTTAGATATGTTACTTTATAAGTGTATTCGCTTGATTTATATGCAGGGTTATTACCTGTGCACATCCTAAACCTCAAGAGAATTGTTAGGAGAAGGTAGTGTAATCCAGACAATGAAAATACGGATCAGGCAAATACATGTCATCTGCACCAACAAGCTGTAGTTTATGATGTAAAAGCTTATAAACGGACTGAGTGGCCCTGATAGCACGAATAAGAGGGCCATTCAATGTATAAAATATTATCTGCACCTTTTTTCCTTTTTCACATTTTAGCCTCCAACATACAGTGTCATCATGTGACACCACATATACTGCCGAATGATGAATCCTCATGTAGAAAGGGTATTATCTCAACTTTCTTTTCTGACTGTTATCAACTAGTATGCCAATTTAAAATATCTTACATGTTTTCTCTTTGGAGTTTTTACTTGAATAATGATAATGTGGAAATATTTAAGGATGTTTTTCATCTTACTATTACTCTGTCATTAGTGTGTGTAGCATTTCCTTACTAGCACATAGTTGCTTTATTCAGTGACAGAAAATTAATTTTCTACGCAGATATAGTCTAGAACGTATACCCTACACGGCAATTTGGAGAACAAATCCTTTGTATCATTCAGAGTTTGTGAGCTATGATATGCTGTTAAGCTATGGTCTTGATTAGGGTGTAACCTTTCTTTTTTAGCTTTCTGTGATCCAAGGCGTAGCTTTGATGCAGCCCAGCTGAATCACCTCAACCTTGACTTCTGAGAAAATTGCTAAACTGTGAAAAACAGCTGTGAGAAAGTACTTAGTCCTGAGTAACATAAGAAAGGTAAAATTGCAGACAAAGGTAAATTTTTGAGATAGAGCCAGCAGCTTCAGGATTCAAGAGAGGAAGAATATAACTATGAAAAGTTATAAAGTTCCGAGAGAGCAAAAGGGAATGAGAAACAGCAACACTACGGATTAGTGTTACATGAAGCAGTAAAGGCTGACCCCTCTCTGTCTGACCGATGACTGCCTGGCAAACACAGACTGAGAGGGTAGCTTACCAAAGGAGGTAAGCGTATTACTGACTTTTTAATCCTAGCTATTGTTTGTCTTAGCCTATACACAATTGCTTTGTACTTTTGAGTTGTTTATATCCTGTTTGCAGACTTTCTTCATGCATGGTAATAGTTGCCTGAATCAAGTAACTAAGAGTCAGTGCTATGAAGGCTAGTTAAAAGGTCCAATGTCTGTGTTCCTTTCTAGGAGGAAGACACCTATTTTCTGTCCTGGCATCCATCTAGTTTTGTTATCACTGTGTGCATGCAAAATCTGGATGCCTGTTAGTAGTGTAAGTAGCAGCGTTACTATTAGTAATAATGGTGATGATGCAGTAGCTATTAAGGCCACAGTGTGCTGGAATACTGCATAATGAATGACAGCTTTTGCTTAAAGGGAATTCAGAAGACAAAGCAGGTGGATGAAGAAAACAAATAGATCCACAAAGGCAATGAGGGCAAGGCAGCATAAGGTTGATCTGTACTTCCTCTGCGCCTTCTTCGAGAGTTCTGAAGGGGCAATTTTTTCACTTCCACGTTTTGAAGACTCTCATTGTCTATAGGGGAAGGATAGAAGCATCTCTTTAAATTCTACTCTCTGTTTATAAACTCACCCTGTAACCAACCTGATCCTATTTTAGGCATTGTATGTGTACTGATAATAGGAATGTGGAACCCGCTATGAGATTTTATATCGCAAATCAGGCTGATGGCGTGTCTAATTAAATATCAGTAGTCAATTAGTGGCTGATTTTTGCCTATGTTCTGGAGCATGGGGTTTGATATTTTACTGGTGGGTAGCCTATCCGGTGTTGTGAAGGTAAATGTAATGGTAAAATTCACATGGATGCTTTTTCTTGGTGGCTGTAGACCTTTGATGTGTACTTTAGTATTTCTCTAAGACATGTTCTTACTCTTCTGTCTGTGCATGCAAGCATTGCTACAAATTTGGAAATAAAGATGCTGCTCCTTCAAAAGCTAAGAATTGTTGGCTTTCAGGATCAAACTCAGCACAGTGATTCTGTCTCTGTAAAGCCAGAATGTGACTAACACTGCTGTAATATTTACTGACAGCAAAATAAATTCACCAGAAGACAGACAGTTAAAAATAGTGATGTCATTCTCTGCCTGTCTCTTCCTATCACTGAGGATGGCACAAAGCTGTCCTTATTATGTATAAGGAAGGATCAGAAGTGCAAGATTTTTATTCTGGAGTTATAATATTTCCTCTTTCATTTAGACTGTAGCAGCAGCAGAATTGGGATTTTAAATTGTTTGATCATTCAGCATTTTATCAATATAACCATATTGATGATATTAAGTAGCAGTAACCAAAAGCCTGGGATCCTTTTCTATCACGTATCTGTAAGTGTATGTTCTTAAAAAAACTGACCATATAGTTCCTCAAAGCATAAAAACTGTATGTATGTATGAATTTTTCCAGGGAACTTAAAAATAACAAAACACAGGAAAGGAACAACACAGAATATTCAACTCAATTCATTTATACCAGCAACCTGTTTTCAACAGCAGACAGTGTCAAACATTTCAGAGATAAATACTGGAACTGGCATCATATATATGTGCCATAGGCTGCCTCCTTTCCCACATCCGAGGGAGACATTTCTTAAAACTGTTCTGCACTTGGAGAATAAAAATAAATTTGCAAACATTCTTGAAGCCTTTCTGTCAGTTTTTCATGCCAGTTCTGATATTAATTTGTGGGGTTTTGTTTGTTTTTTCATTCTTGACAGGTTCTATAGCTGAATGAAAAATAGGTCCAAAATTAATTTTATTAGTTAATTAACATCAAAAAAGGCTGACTGATCTGTTGCAGATTCTCTTTGTGTAAGGGACAAAGGGGATGTCTGACCTTTAACTTGATTTATTGTGAGATGCTACCAAGGTTTCTCTGCCTTCTTTACTACTCAGAAAAGCAGGAATCAGAATATTAGTCTAGAGGAAAAGTAATCTTGGTGAAATAAGAATCTCTTTTAGTAATGGATGCTCAATTTGACAGTTTTTGAGAGGAGGCAGATGATGTTCACTACGTCATTTTATAGTCTTCAGAAGTTCCAGTGTTTAAGGCAGAGGAAAATTTGAATCCCTTATACTGTAGTGACATAGTTTAATATTTGATTCTCTCCATGCTTTCTACCACTGATACTGGTTTCTCATATTTATTTTCCTAATTATTCATAAATTTTAACAATGTATGGGGATACTGTCTAGCAAATTCATGTATAATTAGGATTAAGGGAACTCAGCCCTCTTTCCTGACTACTGGTTTTCCATTAAATACAATGAGAGCATTGATCCATTTGTTCCTTATCTCATCAGCAGTAAGAAGAGCCAGAGAACGTAGCATTAGCAATAATTATGACCTGAGCAACAATGACTGTCCCATGACTTTCTGAAGATGAGCTCAAGAAAGATGGATGTTGAGATCACTATTA